CTGGCAGATTCAAATCCAGCCCAGGCCCGCCAAACAACAATGATGCGTGCAACCAAAAAAAGTAGCCAGGCATTGTGGCAGGCGCCTGTGGTACCAGCTACTTGGGAGGCTGAGGCAGAAGACTCACTTGAGCCCAGGAGTTGGAGGTTGCTGTGAGCTGTGATGCCACAGCACTTTACCCAGGGAGTCAGCTTGAGGCTCTGTCTCCAAAAAAAAAGAAAAATTTGGGCAAGAGGATCACTCGAGCCCAGGAGTTGGAGGGTGCTGTGAGCTATGACACCACAGCACTCTACCTAGGGAGGCAGCTTGAGACTCTGTCTTAAAAAAAAAAAAAAGTTGGTAATATTAACTGTATGATCAAAGTGTTCTGCTTCAAAAGTATATTTCAAAATAAGGATTAAAGACATTAACTAGTGCCTAATACAATAGTAGCAGTAGCTACTACCATTTAACGAGTATCTGTTAAGTGCCAGGAACTGTGTGGGACTGTTTACATACAGGTCTTTTTTAAACCCCACCATCAGTGCAGGAAGGCCACCATCCTGGCAGGCCAGAAAGGTATTCTTATCCCCAATTTCAAAGACGAGGCAGCTCAGAGAGGTTAAGTATCCTTTCCAAGATCAGAAAAGGGATAGCTAAACTATAAAGAAACTGTTAAGAGGTGTGCTTAAAATCATAGACTCAGGGCCAGGCTGAGTAGATGTGAAGCCCAGCTCTGCCATGTACTGTCTGAACTAATCTGTGCCTCCGTTTCATCACAGGTAAAATGGATATAATAACAGCCACCTATCTCACAGGAGTGGCGGTGGGAAGATTAAATTACCTAATGTACACAAAGCAGTTAAGAGATAGCCTGCCACCTGGTAAGGCTTATGAAAGCATTCTCCATTATTACCATCATTATTAACTGGAGCCAGCATTTCAAACTCAGATCTGCCTAATCCTACAGCTTCTCTATTCCACTGTGCAATACAAGTTCACCACAGGCCACCTGCCTGTTCCTCTCATGCCACTTGTTGGCATTCATTCTTTCTCATTCCACTTTTCTTTTCTTTTCTTTTTTTTTTGGAAACAGAGCCTCAAGCTGTCCCCCTGAGTAAAGTGCTGTGGCATCACAGCTCACAGCAACCTCCAACTCCTGGGCTCAAGCGAGTCTCCTGCCTCAGCCTC